TCTCCGCAGAAACCACAAAATGTCACAAGTCATGATTTTATGCTTACTTGTGCTTATTTGTCAGACAGTTGAAACTAGACTAAAAGTTAAAAAGCATGACATGAAAGTAAAAACAGACTGGGCATCCGGTCATCTTAGTAGCTTGAGCCTGGGGTCAAGGTACCTATCATTAGAATTCCATTAAACACCCCAATTACAGGAAGTCCCCAAATACCAGAAAGACACTCAATAAATACTACCAAGGGCTCAAATGCCAAATCAAATCAAATATATAGAGTTATATAACATACCGGTTACCCGAATCCAACATTTACTGTTGATTGTGCTGCTTGGTTTGTGCTAGTCTCCCATGCGCCGTCCATGCTGGTAGGCACCTAAAAGGCAGGAAACGGGAGGGTGATTTAAATATTTTGTGTGTGTGTGTGTGTTTGTTTGTTTGTATGTATGTGTCGGTGTCTATCTGTGTGTATGTATGTGTGCCTGTCTGTTTGTATGTATGTCTTTGTATGTATGTCTTGTGTGTATGTGTTTGTGTCTGTCTGTCTGTGTCTGTATGTATGTATGTATGTGTGCCTGTCTGTTTCTATGTATGTGTGTGTGTGTGTGTCTTGTGTGTGTGTGTCTGTATGTGTGTGTGTCTGTCTTTCTGTATGTGTGTGTGTCTGTCTGTATGTGTCTGTGTCTGTCTGTCTGTATGTATGTATGTATGTATGTGTGCCTGTCTTTTTTATGTATGTGTGTCTTGTGTGTGTCTGTCTGTATGTGTGTGTGTATGTGTGTGTCTATCTGTCTGTCTGTATGTGTGCCTGCCTGTCTGTTTGTATGTATGTTTGTCATGTGTATGTGTGTGTGTCTCTGTATGTATGTATGTGTGTGTGTCTGTCAGGGGGAAGGGAGAATATCAGAGGGGGGTAGGAAAGGGGGAGCCCATGGATCAGTTTCGCACCGTGGCCCTATGTGTACACCACAGCATCCACGTGAGACGTAACAAACTCATTGACTATTTATACACAAACACTAATTGCAATTAAAAAAGCCATAGGTGTGTGTCACTATATGTGTCACTGTCTGTAACAAGGTCAAACATTCAAGGGTATGTAAACTTTTGATCAGGGCCATTTGCGTGATTTCAGTTATCATTATGATTTTAAAAGGAGCCAAACAACTATGTGATAATAAATGGCTTAATTTTATCACTATCCTTCAATAAAATACATATTTTTAAACTCAATGCCAAAATTAAAAAAAATCCTGCCAGGGTATGCAAACTTTTGAGCACAAAAGTACATACAGACTATATAAAAAGGATATTGGCTTTCTTCCTTGGAGATTGTTGTCTTGGGGGGTGGTGGGGTGGGGTGGAGAAGACAGCTACCAATGGGTATCTCTTTCAGGGCTGGCAGCTCTTCCCAGTTGTTTTGCACTCTCCATGCTATGATGGCATGGCATATTCTTTCTAGCTCTATCACAGTGCTTCACTCTCAGGGTGACATCTATCTAAGAATAGTGGGCTGAGAGAGTACAGATAGGCAAAAAGATTTGAAGCTATAGTATATAATTTGGGCTATAATCATGCTCAAATCACGAAACAAATTAGACTAAAACACTGGTCTGCAAAGCATTATATATGCATGCTCTTTTCTTTGTTACTCACAAGGAAGTGGTTGAGCAATTTTAGATATGAATGCATGGAAGTAGCACCTAGCATTCATGTGACGCTTATGACATCATGCACATGTACATGCATCCATGGTAGATTTCAGTGCCACCATATGGAAATAGTTTAGTCAAGTGTAGTAGTGTTACAAATTCAACAAAGTACAAGACCTCCTGTATTCCTGGTACCACTGTGCATGGTAGTACCAGGCAATTTCTAACTTCTCCCAACAGCCCACATTGAGATGTAAATTGATGATGAAGGTGGAGCAAAATTTTGCTGGTTTTACCTACACAATTTATTTAGGGTTTTAGAAGCACTTATATGATAACATATTTGATCCTCCTGACTTGGATGTGCACGACAAATGAACAGAAATAATGACAAAATATCCCCTGTTGTCAAATCCCATTCTTAGTAAGATGTTCTTAAATTCAAGCAGAGAACAATAACCGTAGGGCCCATCTGATAAAAAAAAAAGGTAGCAGGATATTGCTAAAGAGTCACTTATACCCAACATCAGCATGCATATGCTCCAACTGACTCTAACATAGCATGATGTTTGATGAAGCCTCAACAATGCATGATGGCACAGAACAAAACGTAATGTTAAAAGATTAAGCACAAGACTTAAAGATAGAATTCAAAATAGTTTTAGATCTTAAAAAATCAGATGAACAGCTCTGCAGTAGATTAGTTTTATCCTGCAAAAAAAAGATATATTTTTAAATGTTATCAACAGCATTTCAATATCATGTGCCTATATAAATATAAGATATGCACTGTACAAATGCTTCAAACCCTGCCTACAGTAAGTGTCTAATGATAAGGAGAAACTCAATAACCTCATCGTATGTCCCCTAAAGGCTCAATTAAGATAATGTAGAAAGTTACAGTATTGTTGGATGGTTTATTTTATACTTTGTTTAAACAGAAAATATGATAGGCTTACCTTCATCTTAAAGTAATTTGTCATTCCAAAACAAGTTGTCTTTTTGCAATTAAGCTAGAATGGTTAAACACCAGACAAACTTTCGTCTCTAAGAGTAGATCTGGAAATATTTCAACATTCTTTTATCAATTTAAAGACCCTTGCAATTAATGGAAACATTAATTAAAATAACATTTTAGTACAACATTTCAAGATAATGTACAATGAAAAAGTATTAATTATTTTACCCAATAACAGTAATTGACACCAAAGTCAATATTTGGCATGTTTTTTTCCAAAAAAATGTATAAGGCCAGAAAGAAGGCTACTAAAGAACAAGCTATTGATTTTTGCCTGGTCATAGTCTTCTCATAACTTGTGTCAAGACTTGTTGGTAATTTAAACCATAATTTTAGTTGAGAAACTTGTATTTGTTGGCCCAAGTTTGTTACACCAAATGGCTTATATTCATTATGGTCAGACTGACTATGGAGCTTGTAAAGGAAGCTACTGGAGTTCCCAACAGAAAAGCGATGTGATGTCAGAGTGGGCTTCACACATGATTAATATTTATATATTTCTAATCTTTAAATATGCTTGGAGTTGACAGATATGAGAAAGAAGGATGTTTGGCAGGTAGCAACCAAGGCAACACAGACAAAGAACACTAAGACGTTAATTGTACCATTTGGTGCTTGTTCTGCAAAATATGTAGGCATCCTGTTCATGTCATAATAAAGTCTCTGTAGAATTTAGGAACTCTACTCCACCCTGGGTGCTTAGCTGTACCAGAACCAAACACCAGATTCCCATAGAACTAGTATAGTAAAGGAAAAGATCCAGACACTCCTTGATTCAAAAATAGCAACGTTTCGATCTACTCTGTCTTTATCAAGTTGATGAAGATCGAGAAAGTCGAAACGTTGCTGTGGTTCCAATAAACTGCCTATTTTTGAACCAAGGAGTGCCTGGACCTCTTTCCTTTACTATACTGGGACAAATTTTTAACACGTTGAAGGGCTTTAGAGTTTTGGAGTGTTCATTAAACTTCATCTACATTTTTTTTTTCAGTTCTTGGAACTATGTATGTTTAGACAAAAGAAAGGGTGCATTAGGATGCAGATTTAAAGAATCATATGGGAGATAATGTAGTACTTGGTATCAGTCTCTGTGCCTACAGTAGTGTGACATAGCACTGGATTATTTTTTAATTTAACAAGGTTTCAATGATTCTGTATAATAGTTGAATCTGTGAATCAATTGCTAACCTTGGTCTCTACTAGAGCAAACAACATAATGCTTGCTTCATTCTTCTGTAGGGGGATAAATGAGTAAAGGGTAGTGTATAAAAAAAACTGGCAACACTCCAGCCTCATAAGTTGTTTTTTTTTTTTTTGTCAAGCCTCTTATCATTGCCAGGTCAGGCTAAATAAATTCTACCTTTAGCACCCTATGGACTGAGGATATCTTGTTTTCTTTTATGTAATTTACATTTTAGAACATAATATTTTATTACATAATACATTGTGATATTTCATACAATAGACTAGTCCAGGGGTAGGCAACCTTTGACACTCCACACTTGTGGACTACATTTTTCCTGATTACATTCCAACATTATAGCCCTAAGAGTATCATGGGTTGCCTATTCCTGGACTAGTCTGTTTAGTATGAAACTGGAATTTATGTATTGTGATGTGAAGAATGAGAGATGAAGTATCAGAGCTCCAGCACTATATGGGATTTGTGAGTAAAGTAGCCAGTGTCACAGGAGTCATACCCCAACACGCAGGAAAGTGAAAACCCACAAAGGATGGATCTAAAAGATGTAATACCAAGCCTTAGAATTGCCAGGACTTGGGGACGGGGCCTGACCAGTAAGCTGAGCGGACGCATGCACGGCAAGCTCCTGACTAAAGTCAACATATTAAGCCCTTTTCTGCATGCAAACTCACCTATATCACTGCAAAACCAGCCTGACTGCAAAGGGGAGACCCTGAGGACTTGAATGGGACCAGCTTTGGCACCGTCCCGACACTGAATGCCTGCCCTCAACTTATTGCGGCCCAGCAGCCTGACCGGCGTCAGAGAGACGGCCGCTCTCCAGATGCCGGATCTTGCCACCCATAACTAAATCCCCCCCCGCCCCTTTTAGACCAGGGGGGTCATCCTGGTCCCAGGGGCACATCTACCACACCCACACAGCCCACAAGCTGCAGCACGCTGAGATGCCACATGGCCCACAAAATGGCGCTGATCACAACCGGAGGTCCAGCTGAGGCCTACCTTGTCATAACAATGAGCAAACTGGACAGCATATTTACCAAATTCTGGGTGTAACTCAAAGCTAGGCAACAGCATACTCAGCGGAAATACTCACAGACCACGGAGTCAGCAACTCCACAAAAGCACATGCACCAGCCCATCCCGCCCTCCAGAAGCCTGAGAAAGCGGAATAAGCGGAGAACCCCACATTCTACATGGCAAAAGACAAGGAAACAAGGCCCATCACAACATCCAGGGCCCAAGATTCTGGGAGCAAAACCCGCTACTAATCGGGACCTAATTAGTGTGAGGAGCATGGAGACTCTCACTTGCTCGCCTCCCCTAATTGGTGCATACCACACTGATGACCCAAGGGGACAAGCGCATAGGCCCTCCATCAGGACACTCACACAATACATGCATCCTGGCGGCACTCCCCTGCGATCATCAATCACTCCCGAGTAGGGGGGTCAACTGACACTGGACTTCCCTCTTGAGGCTCACAGCCAGCCCTGGGTGAGAGCTCTCTACATATCTACCCACACCACTTCATGTTTTTGAGCCACGTTTTGCCCTCACTCTCCGAAGACCAGAAAATGTTACACCTGTTTGCATTTCTTATTATTGTTTCCAACAGAGCAGTGAAGCCATGTGATTGAGAGTCAGGTTGTAGTGGGTTTTCCTTTCATGTAACTTACACCAGTCTTGCAATATCCCAGGGATGCCAGTCACTCAGATTATGCCTAAACTAGCTTGTTTTCTTTATTGCCTACCACCTTACTTTTTATAATAACCCAATAAAAGCTAACAAATGGCTCACTTTATTGCTTCTATGTGTATGTACAAATAGCCTGTTACCTAATGACCTAATGTAGACAACTGGGCCACCCTGGAAACCTACTAGCTCATCTTTCACTTTTATGTGCTCCTGTCTCTTAACCTTGTTTCATAAGCATGTTATTTAACTGTTTTTTCATATCACCACTCACACGTCTAGGTAGTCCGCATTGATCACGTAATCTGTTTCCATTTATGCCTCAAACATGTTAGACTAGTCTGTAATCTTACTACTTATTTAAAGATGTGTGCAGTAATATCACATGCCTTATATTTGTTCATGTATGTACGGTACAATCCTTGTCACTGCTGTTGGGGAATTGCAAGAGTATGTGTGAAACAACACAAAAGAAAACGACTGAAAAAGGTCTAAAGATACTTTGGCCAATAGTCTAAGGGTGGACTATATGGGTAAGAGACAAGGTCTAACCCCATAAAGATTCAAAAGAACAAAAGAAAGAATAACTACATACATGTGCGATGTAGAGGAGGCCACTAGATAGAATCCTGTTGCCCCAAAACACTGCACCAATGTAAATCTTACCCACGGGATAATATGTAGCTCAAAAGGTGACAGATACTAAGAAGTAAATAATATGCTAAGAAAGATAACCTTTATTATGTCATACGACATGAAAACATAAATCAATAGAAAAGTGTGAAAAACAAACGTGCAATAAGTGAACTGTGATTTAAAAGGAGATCTAGAGGAGTATGCTAGCCAGGTAGTAATCACAGCCTGGTATCCACCAAATGGGCACTAAAAGGTGTACTTATATGGTGGGGGGGGGGAGGGAATTGTTGTATTGAGACTGTCAATTGACATGCAAGTATATTAAGAGAGCTAAACTCAGACAAAAGCACTTTATAATTATAATGGTTATAGTTCATATGAGATAAAGATACAATGTTAATAGTTATAGTGTCACTCAGTATCTAAATGAGAGAATTTTGGTCATTATAAAGTGAAGACTCTAGTATCAGTTAGATTCAAGCAATAAAAACCAATGTATATTGCTGTAAAGTGTCTCTAAATAGGTCAATATGTAAAGAGAAAATCCCCCAAAATCCCCATAGGTCTATTAAGCTTATTCAGAGAAAGCACAGTCTCAGAGTATCTGGGAAACAGAAAAAGATCCAAGTAGTTTCCCAATTAGACACTATGTACTGTATCACTAAACTGTTTCTATCTCCACCAGCCCATAGCCAGGGCCGGATTAACATAGGGGCTGATGGAGCTGCAGCTCCAGGCCCAGGCCCAGGCCCAGGCCCATGGAATAGGCCCATTAAAAAAAAAAAAAAAATTATATATATATATTTTTTTTTTTTACACACTACTCTTAGGTTTGCCAGAATAAATGGAAATTACTCTGCAATACCAGCACCGGCCAGTAGGGGTCACTGTGTGTGGAGAGAGGCAGGGATAGGAAGTTACAGAATATCCCTGCCTCTCTCTACTACTCACTGATCCGTGGGGGAGCTGCTACACAGCACAGAGAGTCCAGGCAGCAGCTCAGGTAAGTGAGGGATGGGGGGAAAGGCAGCAGGGACACATGGGGACACTGAGACAATAGGGGACACATGGGGACACAGACACTAGCGGACATATGGGGACACTGAGACACTAGGGGACACATGATGACACATACACTAGGGGACACATGGGGACACAGACACTAGGGGACACTGAGACACTAGGACACATGGGGACACAGACACTGGGAGACCTGGGGACACAGACACTTGGGGACACTGGAAAATATGGGGACACTGAGACACTAGGGGACACTGAGACACTTGGGGACATATGGGGACACAGACAATAGGGGACACATGGGGACACAGACACTAGAGGACACTGAGACACTAGGACACATGGGGACACAGACACTGGGAGACCTGGGGACACAGACACTTGGGGACACTGGAAAACATGGAGACACTGACACACTAGGGGACACTGGGACACATGGGGATGCTCAGACACATGGGGACGCTGTGAGACATAGGGACATTGGGACACAGAGACACTATGTCCCCCAGCTAGTGTCTCAGTGTCCCCAAGTCTCCCAGTGTCTGTGTCCCATGTCTCTCAGTGTGCCTAGTGTTCCCATGTGTTCCAGTGTCCCCATGTCTATGTCCACAACTGTCCCCATGTCTCCCCAAGTGTCTGTCTCCCAGCCAGTGTCCCCTAGTCTCCCAGTAACCCCTCATCTCCCAGTGTCTGTGTCTCTAGTGTCTTAGTGTCCCCAAATGTTTCAGTGTCTCCATGTCTCCCAGTGTCTGTGTTTCTAGTGTCTCAGTGTGCCTGGTGTCCCCATGTCTCCCAGTGTCCCTATATGTCCCAGTGTCCACATGTCTATGTCCACAACTGTCCCCATGTCTCCCAGTGTCCCCAAGTGTCTGTCTCCCAGCCAGTGTCCCCTAGAGTCCCAGTGTCCCCTAGTCTCCCAGTGTCTGTGTTCCCATGTCTGTGTCCCTAGTGTCTTAGTGTCCCCAAATGTTTCAGTGTCCCCATGTCTCCCGGTGTCTGTGTCCCTAGTGTCTCAGTGTCTCCATTTCTCCAAGTTTCCCTAAATGTCTCAGTGTCCCCATGTCTCCCAGTGTCCCCATGTCTCTGTGGCCCCGGGTCTCTCAGTGTTCCCATGTCTCTCAGTGTCCCCAGTATCCTAGTGATATGGGGACACACTGAGACATTGGGACACTGGGAGAAATGGGGACACTGAGACACTGGGAGACTAGGGGACTGGGCGACATGGGGACACTGACACTGTGATACATAGGGACACTGAGACACTGGGTGACTTGCGAGACTGAGACACTGGGAGACAGGGAGACACTGGGAGCAATCCATCTATACAGCAGAATCAAACTGTGAGTAGTTTGTTGGTGATTTTACAGAATTTTCTCTAATGTCACTCCTTGTGATTTACATCATGTGATGTCACACATAACTAATTAATTATACAAATGATTAAGGCTGGTATTTTTTTCCAAGAAAGGTGGCAACCTTAACTACTCTTCACATACTCTTGCTTAAAGGAGCACTATAGTGTCAGGAACACAGTCATGTATTTCTTACCCTATTATGTTAAAACCACCACCCTGGCCCCTTATTGCCTCCCTAAATATAGTAAAATATTACTTGTATTCAATTCTGCAGCTGCTGGCTCAGAAGTGGTGGTCTGAGCAAATTACAATACTTCCCCATAGGATTGGCTGATCCTGTCAACTAGGCAGATCAGGGGCAGAGCCAGCCCCTCAGCATCTCCTCATAAAGATAAATTGAATCAATGCATCTCTATGAGGAAAGTTCAGTGTCTGCATGCAGAGGGTGGAGACAATGAATGGCAGTGCTGCACACTTTGCAGTACTGCCCCAGGAAGCACCTCTAGCAGCCATCTAAGGAGCGGCCAGTGGAGTTATTTTCTCTGAAAAGACAGTGTTTACTGCAAAAAGCCTGAATGGAATGATTCTACTTACCATAACAAATACAATAAGCTGTAGTTGTTCTGGTGACTATAGTGTCCCTTTAAGTTTGGAAGCTTAAGAGGGATGTATGGGAACAAAACTTGTGTGCACTGGCTGACATTAAAGTTAGTTTAGGTAATGCAGATGTTGGTCTCTCTAACACTGTGGCATGTCCCCTTTCTTCTACACTCACTACAGACACCTTTTCTCTGTCTCAGACTATATACCAGGAACTTCTGCCTGCTAGTAAGAAGGTAAGGAGACAAGTGGACCAGCGAGTGCTAGGGGACAGTCCTTAGAAAGAATGGAGTGAGCGCATCATTAGACGCATTTATGTCAAGCTCAAGGTGCAGCCTGCATAGTATGCCCTTAGTTGGACAGCCTGCAGGATTGGCAGGCAGCCTGACATGCATTCATGCCAGGCTGACCTTCCAATTCTTTGGACAAACATGCCCCCTTTTTGGGCATGTTCACCCCTTTTGGCAGGTCTTGTCACGTGATTCGCGCCAGTGGCACACCCTTTTACCCAGCCCATTGACTTCCTGCTTCACTGGACACTGCTGTTAAGGGTTATGGATTTACTTGAAAGATGAAAGCATAAATTAGAGAGAAATTAGCATAGAGTATGTGTTTTCTTATAGCTGCATCCTATGAGTTTCCCTCCTGCACCATCTCCATCAGATACATGATGCTTGGGAGGTATGATTGTTTTAGTGTTTTTGATTGATAAGATTCCGTAATTAGGCCCATCATAATTGTCAGCACCAGGCCCACTGTGCTCTTAATCCGGCCATGCCCATAGCCTTATGCCCATCTAGTCAAATGTATAGTATAAAGGGCTAATAGATACCCCACACAAAGTCCACTAATTTTTTTTATAATATAAAGCATAATGCTAGTTTATAGTAAAGTGGCTTAGTGTTGGCAACAAACAAACTCCACTAGAAATCCATATTAAAATAAAAAGCGGCTGAAAAGCGGCATAGCCTCGCTCAACGCGTTTCGGCGCCTTTATTGTGGCCTTTTTCAAGAGCAAAAACAATTGTGTGAAACAATTGCACAACAAAAATAAAGAATTTAATGAAAAAAAAAAGAAGAAGAATGGCCAGGACTTAACATATTAATACAACAAGAAACACGGTCAAGATAAGCCAAGG